CCAACATGGGGCCAAAACCCCAGTACAACCAATGAGTGTGGTTTCTTCGCCGAAGCCGTTTCGAACGCCCCGACGACTCGCGGACCCCCCCGTCAAGGTCCAGGGGAACGGGTAGGGGGAGGGGTCAAGACCCCCTTTCCCGCCCGCAAGCCGTCTCGCTCACTCCCACGCGCCCTCCCAACACATACGTAGCACCCGAGCCTGGCCCGAGCCGCAGCACATTCTGCACTCGTTTTTGGATGGGCAGCTACTGCGGGCGAGTCCGCCGCCGCCTCCCCCTCCGCCGCCGCAGCCGCCGCCCGCGGCCGCCGCCGCCGCCGCGCCGCCGCCGCCGCCCGCCGCCGCTGTCCGTTGCCGCCGCCGCCGCGCCGCCCGCCGCCGTCGTCCGCAACCGCCGCCGCCGCGCCGCCCACCGCCGCCGGTGCCGCCGCCGCCGCTGTCGCCCCCGCTGCCGAATCGCCGCAGCCGCAGCTGGTGCCGCCGCAGCCGCTGCCGCGCAGCCGCGCCGCCGCCGCCCCCGCCGCCGCCGCCGCCGCCCCCGCCGCCGTCGCCGCCGCCGCCGCCACCGCCGCAGCCGCCGCCGCCGCCGCCGCCAAGCGTATTCTGTACAGTTCCCAACCAACCTGTGTTGTTGGGTCTTCGTTTTGAAGAAACGGTCCCCGCGTCTCGTCCTCGTCCTTTCCCTCTTCCCTCCTCCCCTCCTCTCCTGTGCCCCCCCCGCCCCCAATGGGGTGTACCACATGCGCTTGCCACACCCAGCACGGCGTTTCGTGGCCTCATATGGGGCCCCCACCTACGGCCCCACTGGTGTACCACATGCGTTTCCCCCACCGAGGACAGCGCTTCGTGGCCCCATAGGGGGTCCACCTAAGGCCCCAGCGGTGTACCACATGCGCCTCCCCCACCCACGACAGCGTTTCGTGGCCACATAATGGGGGGGTCCACCTACGGCCCCAGTGGTGTGTACCACATGCGTCTCCCACACCCAGAACACCGTTTCGTGGCCCCATAGGGAGGTCCACCTGAGGCCCCCGTGGTGTGTACCACATGCGTCCCCCCCACCCAGTACAGCGCTGCGTGGCCCCATAGGGAGGTCCACCTAAAGCCACAGTGGTGTGTACCACATGCGTCCCCCCCCCCACCTAATACAGCGCTTCGTGGCCCCATAGGGAGGCCCACCTAAGGCCCCAATGGCGTGTACCACATGCGTCTCCCACACCCAGTACAACGTTCCGTGGCCCCATAGGGAGGTCCACCTAAAGCCACAGTGGTGTGTACCACATGCGTCCCCCCCCACGCTGTACAGCGTTTCTTGGCTCCATAGGGATGTCCACATAAGGCCCCAGTGGTGTGTACCACATGCGTCCCCCCTCCACCCAGTACAGCGCTTCGTGGCCACATACGGTGGTCCACCTACGGCCCCAGTGGTGTGTACCACCTGCGTCTCCCCCACCCAGTACAGCGCTTTCTGGCCCCATATGGAGCGCCACCGAAGGCCCCCGTGGCGCAGTCCGCATGCGTTTCCCCCACCCAACACAGCGCTTCGTGGCCCCATGTAGAGCCCCACCGAAGGTCCCCGTGGCGCAGTCCGCATGCGTCTCCCCCGCCCAGTACAGCGTTTCGTGGCCCCATATGGAGCCCCACCGAAGGCCCCCGTGGCGCAGTCCGCATGCGCCTCCCCCGTCCAGTACAGCGTTTCGTTGCCCCATAGGGGTTCCGCCGAAGGTCCTCGTGGCGCAGTCCGCGTGCGCTTCCCTCGCCCAGTACAGCGCTTCGTGGCCTCATATGGAGCCCCACCGAAGGTTCCCGTGGCGCCGTCCGCATGCGTCCCCCTCACCCAATACAACGTCTCGTGGCCCCATATAGAGCCCCACCGAAAGGGCCCCGTGGCGCAGTCGGCATGCGTCTGAAGGTCCCCGTGGCGCAGTCCGCATGCGCCTCCCCCACCCAGTACAGCGTTTCGTGGCCCCATAGGGGTTCCACCGAAGGTCCCCGTGGTACAGTTCGCATGCGTCCCCCTCACCCAGTACAGCGTTTCGTGGCCCCATAGGGAACGCCACCGAAGGTTCTCGTGGCGCAGTCCGCGTGCGTCTCCCCCACCCAGTACAGCGTTTCGTTGCCCCACAAGGAGTTTCACCGAAGGCTCCCGTGGCGCAGGCCGCATGCGTCTCCCTCACCCAGTACAGCGTTTCGTGGCCCCAAAAGGAGCCCCACCGAAGGCCCCCGTGGCGCAGTCCGCGTGCGTGTCCCCCACCCAGTACAGCTGTTCGTGGTTTCATATGGGGCTCCGCCGAAGGTCCCCGTGGCGCAGTCCGCATGCGTTTCCCTCACCCAGTACACTGTGTCGTGGCCCCATAAGGAGCGCCACCGAATGTTCTCGTGGCGCAGTCCGCATGCGTCTCCCCCACCCAGTACAGCGCTTCGTGGCCTCATGGGGGTTCCGCCGAAGGTCCCCGTGGCGCAGTCCGCATGCGTCTCCCCCACCCAGTACACCGCTTCGTGGCCCCATATGGAACGCCACCGAAGGCCCCTGTGGCGCAGTCCGCATGCGTCTCCCCCACCCAGTACAGCGCTTCGTGGCCCCATAAAGGCTCCGCCGAAGGTCCCCGTGGCGCAGTCCGCATGCGTCTCCTTCACCCAGTACAGCGTTTCGTGGCCCCATATGGAACCCCACCGAAGGTCCCCGTGGCGCAGTCCGCATGCGTTTCCCTCACCCAGTACAGCGCTTCGTGGCCCCATAGGGAACTCCACCGAAGGCTGCCGTGGCGCAGTCCGCATGCCGTCCCCCCACCCAATACAGCGCGTCGTGGCCCCCTTGGGAGCTCCACCGAAGGCCCCGTGGCGCAATCCGCATGCGTCCCCCCCACTCAGTACACCTCCGTCGGAGGCCGTCGGGGTTCCGCGCCTCGCTCGCCCATTGTCGCTCTGCCCAGCGGCAAGAGCTTTGCCCGCTATCAGCCAGCCAGCTATCCCTCTTTGCCCCGCGCAGCGGACGACCCGCGCGCGTCGCTGGGACCCTTCCGGGGCGACCTGCGCGAGTCGCGGAGATTCCGCGCTGCGCTGCGGCGGCAGCCTTGGACTTTTGAGTGCGCGGGCAAAGAAGGAGTAAAAGAAGGGGGGAAGCGGGCGCGATCCTCGCGGGGGGGCGCGTCGACATTGGCGTCGCGGCGCGCGGGCGATGCCGTCGGGGAGTCCCGGGGAAGCTCCTTGCGGCGGCCACGCCCATCGTCACGAGTACTCAGAGGCAGTCGTTATCAAACTATTGACATTCATGTGCGGTTACACCATGTTTTGTCATACGCGCGCTCGTGCACGTAGATTCGCTCGCGTGCAGATTCATGCACAGTCAGACGCCCTCGCGCTCAGATTCAACCGCGCTCAGTCTCCCTACGTACTCAGATCAACCGTTTTCGCTCGCGTTGTGTTCCACGCCGCTCAATTCGGCACACCGCTAGCACGGTTCGTTGCCTCATAGGGATCACCACCGAAAAAGTGAATCACAATTGCAGTATTCACACCTGCATATGGGTGGGCCCTTCGTCAAACTAGCCGAACTAATGTTTGACAGGGATGGTTGGGGGAGGCCGCATCGGGTTCGCTGCGCATGTTCCGAATTTGGAGGCAAAGTGCGTGCTTGTACGGTATTATGCTTTTAACAAAGGGACGGCGGGGGGGGGTGCCCGCATTGACCCGGGTTGGCTCCCAGTCGCATGGGGGAGGGGCTGTATACTAATACGGAACAATGGTTCAACCCCTCCCCGAATGGGAAGAAGGAGGGGTGGAAGAGGAAATTCCCTAAACCACCTACGCCAACAGGGGTGGTGGGATTCATGATGGTTCCTTCCTGGCCTTAATTACGGATCTTGCAGCGGTGCGGGTCTCGAGGCATGCTGCTGGAGTTCGCGGCAGCCTCGGCTCGCCACCAGTTGCTCCCAGTCGTGAGCGTTCGCGCTGACGATGGTGATTCTGAACTTGGCAATCCATCGCGAGGGAGTATCACTGGGAGCAGGGTGGCTGGTCCATTGGCCGTGTCCCAGTTGAGGTGACGCTTGGAAAGATGACGGATGTCTGCCGACAACGGGGTTTTTCATCTAGACGAATGCGAACATGTTGGCCATTGCCACGCACGTGGACAATATGAATTCCGTCAGCAGGCCTGTATATTGCTACGTTTTCGTTTGATGCATTCGAGTCCCGTCTGTCTTCCGAATAGGGAGTCTGCTTCACAAAGTCTAAAACATCTTGCGTGGTTGCTGCAGGAGGGGGCACATCCTTTTTAGTAGGGTTGCCTGGACACCACCCGTGTAGAATATGAGTTCGTGTAGGATGTTCGCATCGGCAAGACTATGGCCGACATGTGGCGCGTTTGTGGTAAAAGTTGTCCGATGCTTTGACTGCGATGCGTATATCTGGGGCTACGTATCTGTCTGCTTGATCGTTTGGCGCCTCTTGCGTTCCAGTCTCGATACAGAAAGTGGCCACCAGCCGCTAACCGGCAGGATCGCATCGATACTTGTCATGCGAGTGCCACAGCAGCTTGGCGAAGCTGTGCCTTCCGCTGAAGGGCCCGGGAAACCAGGGACCCGGTTTGGCGGAGGCGTTGGTGGAACCATCGCCAGTGCATCCCAGTTCCGGATTGACGCGAGCAGTTTGGCCTCAAAGCCGGAGAACGCAGCTGAATAACGCTAAAGCGTTCACGACGGACGCACGGACACGAGATTGATAGCTCGTCGTCCACGACAGCGCTGGCACGATTGGGTTCGGCTTTTTCGCTGCAGCACATTATGCATGGCTCATATGCCGTCATTTGTCCTGTTTCGTCTGCTCCTCCCTCGAATGCGCGTAGCGTCCTTTAGTCGTTCAAGCTGTGTCAGCGATCAGTGCGTTGTGTTGGGTGCTCGTTTGTCCGAAGTGTGTTTTTGCGCACGCTTCCTGCGGTACCATCCCGCCTTCTGATTTTGATTGTGAGTCCACCACTTTCCTTTCCCGCTCGCGACGAGGATGTTCCACCAGCAGATCACGCTCTGGGTCTTCGGAGGGTCAGAGGAGACGCTGATGCAGAGGAGAGGAGGAGTGAGGGCGAGGACAGGGTGATGGAGAAGCAGGGGAGTTGCAGGGTAGGAGCAGGGAGTAGCAGGGGATGATGGGGGAGAGAGGGCGGAAGATGAGGAACATATGGAGGAGGAGGAGGAGGAGGAAGAGGAGGGGGAGAGGAGGAGGAGGAGGAAGAACACGGAGGTAGAGCACGAACAGGGAGGCGCATGATGATGATAGGGGATTTGGGTGGGGACGGGGATGGGATGGGGATCGAAATTCTGATGTTGATGATTATGTTGATGGTGTTGATGATGATGATGATGAGGAGGAGGAGGAGAAGGAGCAGGAGGAGGATGAAGGTGACGACGATGATGGTGATGGTGATTATTATGGTGGTGGTGGCGATGTTGATGATGACGATGATAATGATAATTGTGATGTTGATGGTGATGGTGGTGATGATGAAGATGATGATGATGCTGATGAGGATGAGGACGAGGATGAGGCTGCTGATGGTGATGGTGATTGTGATGATGTTGATGATGATGATGATGATGATGATGATGATGATGGTGATGCTGTCGATGCTGATGATGCTGATGCTGATGCTGATGGTGACGATGGTGGTGGTCATGGTGGTGGTGATGGACATGGTTGTGGTAATGATGTAGGTGGTGGTGATGAAGATGGTGATGGTGATGGTTATGGTGGTGGTGCTGGTGATGATGGTGAATGGTGGATCTGTGTCGGCGTGTCGCGTGTCGGCGGCATTTCATGTCGGCCCGACCCTCACGCTCTGTGGCACCAGCAGTAGCCCGGTGCAACGAAGGAGGATGAGGAACACGAGGAGGGAGAGTTGGATGAGGATGCATATTCGGAGGAGGAGGAGCAGCAGCAGCAGAAGGATAGGTACAACACTAAGGCGAGGACCAGAAGGATAAGGAGGAGGAGGCGGCCGCAAGGGATGGGGGCTGACGACCAGGATGGGAGGGAAACCAGGAGGAGGAGGAGGAGGAAGAGGACGACGATCAGAAAGGGTCACGTTACGAATGGGGAGGAGGATGACTGTTGCCAGAATGATGGGGAGACCTCTTCGATCTGTGGCTTTCGACCTGTGCTTCTGCTCCTCCTCCTCGGTTCCCGCGTCGTGCTCATCTTCTCCTTTTCGATCCATCATCAGCGACCCTCATCGATCTTCAGTCCTTGGTCCTCCTCGATATTCCTGATTGTTCTTCGATCGTCGATCGTGAATCTTCGAACCTTGATCCATCCTAGATCTCCTCCGTAGCCGAATCTATCCCTTCTCCTCACCCTTGATCATCGAACCCTCTCCCTTCCCCTTCTGCGCCCTCGATCCCTCCGTCCTCGATGTCTTCTCTTCTCCTCCCTCCGAGACTCGATCTTCGATCGATTATTCTGGACCATGGATCCTCAATGCCTCTTCTTTTTCCTGAGCCTTGAGCTCTCCTCGAGCGAGTGGTTGGCATAGCACCCCGCTGGTAATCCCCGTCAGCACTGTTAGCAGAATCTCCGAGCACTCCATTAACACGGTTAGTACGATCCAAAACAAAGAATACATTACCGTTGTCCGCGGAGGTTATTGGCAGAGTTAGTCGAGTGTTGGTCGAGTCTACTATCACCTGCGAACATCGTACTAACACTAACACTTATACTAACATTGTTCGTAGGTGTTGACATTGTTAGTCGTATCTGCGAACATCGTTTGACTATTATGATAACAGTGTTAGTAGAGTGTGAGCGGAAGTGTTTGTAGGGGATCGGAGGGAGTCGAATATGTTTGATATTTGACCCCCTTACTTTGATCCTGGATTTTCGATCCTCGTATCCGGGATCCTCGATCGAGGATCGGGGATCGGGGATCGTCATCGTCGTCCTCGATCGAGGATTGGGGATCGTCGTCCGCCAGAGGGAGGCTCGGAGGCTCTGCGGAGCTCGGAGGCTCTGTGGGGTCCGTGCCCGGGCAGCACCACGCCAGAGGCTCGGAGGTTTGGAGGCCTGCAGGCACGAACACGCGGCCCATCCGTGCCTTCAAATCGTTCCTCGTCGACGATGTCGTCCTCGTCTTCGTCATCGTTCTCTCCGTCCTCGTCGTCGTCCTCATCCTCCTCGTCATCCTCGTTCTCCTCGTCGTCCTCCTCCTCGTCCTGGTCCTCCTCCTCCTCCTCACCCTCTTCATCCTTCCTCCTCCTCGTCTTCCTCGTCCTCCTCCTTCTCCTCCTTCCCTCTCCATCTCCCTCCTCCTTCTCCGCCTCCTCCTTGCATGTCCCTCCACGCGATCGCCGGCACGCTGGTGGCTTCCGCCATCGATTGCGCCTTCGGCCCCCGAAGATAAAATCGTCCTCACATTGCTTGCGACATAGGTTGGGCCCCTGGCCTCCGAAGACAAAAACGTCCTCCCGTTGGTTGCGACATAGGTTGCGCCCCCGGCCCTCAAGATAAAGT